TGCAATTGAAAGTTCAGTATAAGTATTGACTTCAAATTCAGCTAACATATATATATATATATATATATAGTGATACTTACCTACATGAATTACCCGCCATCTTCTTTCAGCCGCCGTCTTCTTTCAGGGTCCAGCAGCACAGAGCACCCCGGCTGTTTCCGTCAAAATTTTATGCTACTCTAAATCATTCTTATTTTAGTTTCATTTTTATTTTCAACTACATATATCAGTATTTTTAATAGTTATCAACAGTATTAAACGGGAAGTAAATTTTCGAAAAAAGAAAAATAGAAAGATATACAAATGTATATGACTCCCACAATGCATCGCGCGGAAAAGAAAGTTAAGCCGCCATATTGGCATCGCCTCGCAAAATTTACCACCATAAACGTGAGTCTTTGTCATTGTATTTACAAATTTCGATGTCTGATTATCATTAATACACAACACAAAACATTTTCTTGATGTACAGGTAATGAAGAAAATGTCGATAAGGTTGTTTCATTTAATGACTAGCATCAGCAACTTGTAGGGGCGATAATCCAATGATTACGGTAATGTCCGGCAGATGGAGTAGGAGTAAACTTTCGATTTATGAACCAATGAAAACGAAGTACTGATACTCAGCCTCAGGGGCGATAGCAACATGCTGAAGAGCATTGAAAATGCTCTTAGCATAAAAATTAATAGACAAATGTATTTGCCTTAGTTAGACACACAGCTCATGACCTTATATTACACAAAATATTATGATCATATTTCAAACCCCACTTCTACAGTTGACTAAAAATTTTGAGTTTCTGTGTTCTGGAGGTTTTCTAGCATTAATATGATACTAGAAAATTTTGGTAAGGCATGGCTACTCTATCTTTCAAGAATATTTAATTTTCTAGAAATAGTAACAGTTACCTTGACCTTTGAAAACCCTGAAAACCTTATCAGCGATATCATTGTAGTTAGCCTTTTTAAAAATTTTAGATCAAAATGCTTGAAGAAATTATGTTGCTAGCATGATTACATTGGTTTAGGACTGAAAGGACATTGAACTGGTTGAATGTTACAATCTGTTTGAGTCCACCATTTACTTTAAGATATTTACCTGAGAACTCGAAGTATTTTGAGTGGCAGAGTGTACCAAGAGGCTGGGTTAGAGATATGAGTAGTGACTGTAGATGCCAGGTCTTTTCCCTGCCACAAGTGTATACGGAACGTCTCCATCACATCCACCATCCATGTCAGGGGAACTAGAATCACCGATACAGGTACATTTTATTTTCACAGTGATATTGAGGTTTACTGCGCTTTGACAGACTTACAAATCTTAGTGTTCAATTGTTCAAACAGGTGTCATATTCTGATACTGCTAATTTCTATTTTTTAAAGACAAGCAAGAATAAAGCCTGTCAAACTGTAACGAACAAAATATACGAAATAAACATGAAATAAGATTTGGCAATATCATAATTATAAAACTTGAGCACAACAATTGATACTTTTCTTTTACCTCTCCACCCTCTCCTCTCCCCTCCCCTTTCTTCAATTCAGACACGCAGCTGTTATTGTAAACAATGACAGCTTCTCCACCCTCTCCTCTCCCCTCCCCTTTCTTCAATTCAGACACGCAGCTGTTATTGTAAACAATGACAGCTTCTCCACCCTCTCCTCTCCCCTCCCCTTTCTTCAATTCAGACACGCAGCTGTTATTTTAAACAATGACAGTGATGTAGTGATGACTGTAAAATTTGGTCTTACATATAGTAACATATTTCCTTACTGGAATGATCTTGTGTACTGTCAAGAAACTTGTAGGAATTGGTTGACAAACAAATATTGGTATTTAACATAAGGTCCAAACACCAAATACATAGTGTATGCTAATTTTTTTCAGATTTTAAACGATTATTGTATCTTTACACTGACATTAATTCCTGGTCTCATAAGATTATTTTTGGTAATGCTAAATAATCTTCTATGTTTTCTTTTTAATTGTCACATTAAACTTGTTATTTCTCTGATTCTGCACCCTTAAATATGTTAAATTTGTATTTCATCTTTAACATCAATTTTAAGTTCCAACATCTTGTCCTATAACCATCAGGGAAAAAACCCCTGAAAGTTAAATTTTGATGAAGATGTATATAGTGTAGTGTGTATTTTATATAAATAATCATTACACCTGTAGTGTAACAAACCCCATGTATCGTGAAAATCTACTGTAAAGTCCATGTGTAATTCAGTTGTATCATTTTTCTACATCATTCCGACACTGAAATGTAACTAGGTCAGTAGGTAATTTTCATTCACATAAGTATGGGTATCAAACACAATCCATATGAATCACATTCCAATGTAGCTTGGCACTCCAGTAAATGAACATTTCAAGACAGAATTTTTAAGGCTCTGTTTATTGTTTAATTTGTCTTAAAAAAGAACTGAAACAGACCCATGTTCATCTGAAACAAATAAAACGTAAAATCCAGCAAAATTTTGTTCAGTACAAATTAAACAGACATAAAAGACCACACATATACCTGTTTTGTTATTCATCGCCGTCTCTACCCTCCTCTGTGAATCCTCTAGTTCATCAGATGTCTGTAATAAGGGCTGGATGTGCAGCTATAACAGAAATTTATGTCAAAAAGAGAATAACATTTTGTTTTTTGTTGTCTTTGATCAAGAAAAATATGAACTTATCTTTATTCTATTTTTATCCTTCTCCCTGAAGGGGATGTCTGTCTGTCATAATTTTGTCCTGGGCATAACTCAACAACAATAAGAGGTATCAACATAAAACTTCATAGGTAGATAGATCTCAACTAGGAGAAGTCCAGTGCACTAGAACCATATCTCTCTGTTACATAATGTATGAGTTATTGCCCTTTGCTATTTTTCATATTTAAATCTTGTCCAATTCCTTACATTGAAACCATAAGAAATAGAGACATTAAACTTCATAGGTAGATAGATCTAAATGAGGAGAAGTCCAGTGCACAAGAACTATCACTCTCTTTTGCATAATTTATTGATTTATTTAGATAGATCTAAACAAGAAGAGGACAGTCACAAGAATCTTAACTTATATTTTGTCCCATGCAGGGAGCATAACCCGTCTCTGACAGCCCTTGATATGTATAATAATATATAACAACAAAATATGTGGTTCTGTGTATCTACTGGGACATAGGGCGAAGACAAGAGAAAAGACCAAGGCAGCATACCAAGAAATTTTATAAACCAGGTTAGTATAGGGACTGAGACTAAGGCAGGACTCTGACAAGCTCTATAAACCAGGTTAGTATAGGGACTGAGACTAAGGCAGGACTCTGACAAACTCTATAAACCAGGTTAGTATAGGCACTGAGACTAAGGCAGGACTCTGACAAACTCTATAAACCAGGTTAGTATAGGGACTGAGACTAAGGCAGGACTCTGACAAACTCTATAAACCAGGTTAGTATAGGGACTGAGACTAAGGCAGGACTCTGACAAACTCTATAAACCAGGTTAGTATAGGGACTGAGACTAAGGCAGGACTCTGACAAACTCTATAAACCAGGTTAGTAAAGGGACTGAGACTAAGGCAGGACTCTGACAAACTCTATAAACCAGGTTAGTATAGGGACTGAGACTAAGGCAGAACTCTGACAAACTCTATAAACCAGGTAAGTATAGGGACTGAGACTAAGGCAGGACTCTGACAAACTCTATCAACCAGGTTAGTATAGGGACTGAGACTAAGACAGGACTCTGACAAACTCTATAAACCAGGTTAGTATAGGAACTGAGACTAAGGCAGAACTCTGACAAACTCTATAAACCAGGTTAGTATAGGGACTGAGACTAAGGCAGGACTCAGACAAACTCTATAAACCAGGTTAGTATAGGGACTGAGACTAAGGCAGGACTCTGACAAACTCTATAAACCAGGTTAGTATAGGGACTGAGACTAAGGCAGAACTCTGACAAACTCTATAAACCAGGTTAGTATAGGGACTGAGACTAAGACAGGACTCTGACAAACTCTATAAACCAGGTTAGTATAGGGACTGAGACTAAGGCAGAACTCTGACAAACTCTATAAACCAGGTTAGTATAGGTGAAGACTGAGACTAAGGCAGGACTCTGACAAACTCTATAAACCAGGTTAGTATAGGGACTGAGACTAAGGCAGGACTCTGACAAGCTCTATAAACCAGGTTAGTATAGGGACTGAGACTAAGGCAGGACTCTGACAAACTCTATAAACCAGGTTAGTATAGGGACTGAGACTAAGGCAGAACTCTGACAAACTCTATAAACCAGGTTAGTATAGGGACTGAGACTAAGGCAGCACTCAGACAAACTCTATAAACCAGGTTAGTATAGGGACTGACACTAAGAAAGCACTCTGAGGAACCCCAGACACCAGGTCAAGGACAGGGAGTGAGACTTAGGTGTAACTCTGAGGATCTCCAGACACCAGGTGAAGAAAAGGGAGTGAGACTTAGTTGTAACTCTGAGGATCTCCAGACACCAGGTGAAGAAAAGGGAGTGAGACTTAGGTGTAACTCTTAGGAACCCCAGACACCAGGTGAAGAATAGGGAGTGAGACTTACGTGTAACTCTGAGGATCTCCAGACACCAGGTGAAGAAAAGGGAGTGAGACTTAGTTGTAACTCTTAGGAAACCAAAACACCAGGTGAAGAAAAGGGAGTAAGACTTAGGTGTAACTCTGAGGATCTCCAGACACCAGGTTAAGAACAGGGAGTGAGACTTAGGTGTAACTCTGAGGAACCCCAGACACCAGGTCAAGAACAGGGAGTGAGACATAGGTGTAACTCTGAGGAATCCTAAACACCAGGTGAAGAATAGGGAGTGAGACTTAGGTGTAACTCTGAGGATCTCCAGACACCAGGTCAAGAAAAGGGAGTAAGACTTAGGTGTAACTCTGAGGATCTCCAGACATGGTCAAGAACAGGGAGTGAGACATAGGTGTAACTCTGAGGAATCCTAAACACCAGGTGAAGAATAGGGAGTGAGACTAAAGCATCATTTATAGTAAGGGTAACCTTATTTTTGACTGCAAAATTTTGCAATGCGCACAAGTACCAGAGACAATGGTTGTTAACTTATGTGTGTTAAGTATTGTGGCAAATGGATAAGAAATGCAGTCTGTAGATCATTAACGTTGTTTAGGTCATGCACAAAGGTATGTACAAAATGTACAAACAAGCTGGTCTTTATAAACACTAGACAACTTTCGTTGTGAGGGTACTGTATCAGGGAAAATCTGTCGCAAGAACATCACCAATGGTACTGAACATGTTTAAAAACCACTTTTTAGGGGTGCAATAAGCCATAGCATCAAAAAGGAACCACACATTATATAAACCTTCTGGAGAAGTTCTTGAAATAATGGCTGAATTTATATACTTACATCAATTCATTATGTAGTTTCAACTTTGTCATGAATTATAAAATGTAATTATCAAATTAACATAAAATTCAACCTTTTAAAATCTTAAATGAAAGATAATTAAGTTGACATTTCGTATATATCTGACTTACTTCCATGGGTTTCCTAAACATTTTCACTTTAAATGTCCCCAAATCCTTTCTTTCAGAACTGTAATCAAGAAAAAGAATTCAGAAATGTACAGTTTGGGCACAAGCATATCCGTCAACACTTCAATTCTATAATAAACTGCTAAAAATTTTTTTTCACTTTCACTATAACTCAAAAAATGTAAAAAATCTGGAAGGAATTAGACCACAAAGAATTGAAGAAGGAGTAAAGATTTTCCTGTTTACTTTGATGAAGAGATCAATCTAGTTTACCTTGCAAATGTTTACAAAATAAACGAAAGCAATCACTATATTCACACATGGCACAGGCTGGAAGACAGCTATGCATTAAACAACCCATTTGGAGTGAAAACAATATTTAAAAGCCAAAAGAAAAAAACAAAACAAAAAACAGCTATTATAAAATTCTATGAAATACACCGATATTTTTGTCCTGCTTAACCTTGAGCTGCAGACTGAGTTTTTCCCCCTTTCTAAAAGGTGCCCTTTTTCCGAAAAAGAAGAAAAATTAGGAATAATTTCCAATCTCTTAAGAAAATATTACAAACTTTATTTTTCCAAATTAACCAGCCACAGGCTGCTGTAAAGTTAAGCGAAACAAACACCGATATATCAAATGTCATTAAATTGTCGATCGGTAATACTTACGATATGATGGCACCTATTAACATGATATTGTCTGACACGTCTACACCGTAACACTGCCAGGTATTGTTGTCATTGGTTGTAGTGAAGTCTGTATTCCATTGCTTAAGGCTAATAGACACACCTACCAAATGATATCATGTATTTTAATATATTATAAACTTTCTTCTACAACAACTGTGAAACAAGCTTTAAGCTTATAATAATCATTCTTATTGGCCTAGATGTAAGTGCATGAGGAGTTTTACTGTGGAAGGAAATGGAGTATCCGTGGAAAACCCACATGGTCAGATAGGTGAACCCATACCTTTTCTGACAGTAACACCTCCCCATATTTCCATTGAACAGTATCCCTACCCACCTGTATCTGTGACAGTAAGATATCCGTTTAACAGTATTTCTACCCACCTGTATCTGTGACAGTAAAACTTCCGTTTAACAGTATTTCTACCCACCTGTATCTGTGACAGTAAGACTTCCGTTTAACAGTATTTCTACCCACCTGTATCTGTGACAGTAACACAGAATCTCTACCCACCTGTATCTGTGACAGTAAGACATCCGTTTAACAGTATTTCTACCCAGCTGTATCTGTGACAGTAACACAGAATCTCTACCTACCTGTATCTGTGACAGTAAGACATCCGTTTAACAGTATCTCTAACAACCTGTATCTGTGACAGTAAGACATCCATTTAACAGTAGTTCTACCCACCTGTATCTGTGACAGTAAGACATCCGTTTAACAGTATCTCTAACAACCTGTATCTGTGACAGTAAGACATCCATTTAACAGTAGTTCTACCTACCTGTATCTGTGACAGTAACACAGAATCTCTACCTATCTGTATCTGTGACAGTAAGACATCCGTTTAACAGTATCTCTAACAACCTGTATCTGTGACAGTAAGACATCCATTTAACAGTAGTTCTACCCACCTGTATCTGTGACAGTAAGACATCCGTTTAACAGTATCTCTAACAACCTGTATCTGTGACAGTAAGACATCCATTTAACAGTAGTTCTACCTTCCTGTATCTGTGACAGTAACACAGAATCTCTACCTATCTGTATCTGTGACAGTAAGACATCCGTTTAACAGTATCTCTAACAACCTGTATCTGTGACAGTAAGACATCCATTTAACAGTAGTTCTACCCACCTGTATCTGTGACAGTAAGACATCCGTTTAACAGTATCTCTAACAACCTGTATCTGTGACAGTAAGACATCCATTTAACAGTAGTTCTACCTACCTGTATCTGTGACAGTAACACAGAATCTCTACCTATCTGTATCTGTGACAGTAAGACATCCGTTTAACAGTATCTCTAACAACCTGTATCTGTGACAGTAAGACATCCATTTAACAGTAGTTCTACCTACCTGTATCTGTGACAGTAACACAGAATCTCTACCTATCTGTATCTGTGACAGTAAGACATCTGATTAACAGTATCTCTACCCACCTGTATCTGTGACAGTAAGACATCCGTTTAACAGTATCTCTAACAACCTGTATCTGTGACAGTAAGACATCCATTTAACAGTATTTCTACCTACCTGTATCTGTGACAGTAACACAGAATCTCTACCTACCTGTATCTGTGACAGTAACACAGAATCTCTACCTACTTGTATCTGTGACAGTAAGACATCCATTTAACAGTATTTCTACCCACCTGTATCTGTGACAGTAAGACATCTGATTAACAGTATCTCTACCCACCTGTATCTGTGACAGTAAGACATCCGTTTAACAGTATTTCTACCTACCTGTATCTGTGACAGTAACACAGAATCTCTACCTACCTGTATCTGTGACAGTAACACAGAATCTCTACCTACCTGTATCTGTGACAGTAACACAGAATCTCTACCTACCTGTATTTGTGACAGTAAGACAACTGTTTAACAGTAGTTCTACCTACCTGTATTTGTGACAGTAAGACAACCGTTTAACAGTATTTCTACCTACCTTTATTTGAGACATTAACACTGCCTTTAAACAGGAATCCATCACAGGTAGACACAAGTAAAGTCTTATCCTTGTAACACACAGCTGTGTAAAACAATTATGATATACAGATTATATATGATATGTAATATAGGCACTGAAAAAAATTCTCTGTGACAGGCAACTTAAGCAGCCCATGAAACAGTAAAATGGCAAAATACATTAAAGTTCACAATGTCCATTTAACTGAATCATAAGAGGCAGATAATTACTGTCGCTCTAGCTATCTAGTGTTCTATCACTGCATGACCTTATGACACATGATCATCGTATACATAAAAAACATATCACAGCTAAATTCCCATCCTATGTAATGGGATAGACAGAGAGTCAGAATTATTCTGACATTCTGTCGCCTTTTATGTATCAGCTTTATGTGGACTCCAAAATGATTTTTACATGTCGATAGAATTCTAGATAATTCTGACGAACATAAAGAGTATGAGTCAATAATTATGTGCATATGTTATGTTATGTGTTAGCTTGCCTGTTGGTCCCGTTGTTATATATCTTGTTCTCATCTGTGAATGTGACATTACTTACTTGGACTGACCAAGATTTACATGGCAGATGTTGTTGATGAAGCAGAAGACACTTACTCTTCCAGAACACCTGGTCTTATTCTCCTTATACTTTTTCAGAAGGCTCTTTGTAAATCTTTCTTTTGTTCATATTTAGCCCTAATAGAATTGACTTTGAGTTTGGATAATGTTGACATGGTGGTATTTTCTTTATGGGTTTTATATACCTCTGTATTGGAAACGTACCTGTTATATCAAGGCTGGTTTCCACCAGTATATGAGTACTATGGAGTAAACACATTTTGCCATCAGTAATTTTCACTATGTAAGCCATCAAGTAGTATTCTTTAGCAAATAACACCAGAAGCTGGTCCTGCAAAATAAGTAAAATACTCCATAAGAAGAAAATACTTTATAGACCTGTTTCATCTCATGTAGAAATGTAACGGAATGCTGTATTGAAGTTCTTTTGATGAATAAAGAGTTATAAATCAGGGACAAATGGTCCCTCATTTTCAAACATATGTAATAAGTATGAACCAAAGTCGTTACTCTCCCTTCAAATCTAATCAATTCAAGGACTGAAAATGATGTCATTAAATCTCATCTGTGTGGAGATTGTAGACTGATGTATATGAGTTCCGAGAAAATGAACAAAAACAATAAAAAGATTGTTCGTAAATAATCATAATTTGCCATCAAAAGAAAAAAACTGTCTTAAAAATGGGAATTTTCTTTACGCATGGTTTTATTCTAACATTGCACCTGTGAGATCATTTTCATATTAATATTTGTCACTGCCAGTAAATCTTTCTCATCATGTAGGGTGAGAGAGGACACAATATCCCCGTCCTGTAAGCTGACTCCTGTCAGGATTACACTTCCATTCTGGTACCCGACAGCCATATAGTCCACAGTTTTACCTAGAAAAAATTTTAATAAAATGAAAGTTAGTAGGCTAGAGAGGCAACCATACATTATAGGTATAGCTATACATTCCTGGCTCAATACGTTTGACCTTTAACCTTAGTTGATTATATCAGTGAAAATGCTAACTGCTTCCCTGAAAATCACTTTATTGGACACAAAATTTAATCAAAGGGCAATAATTCTGTAATTAAAGAAAGGTTCGACTATGTGATCTCCCCTCGAGGAGCATAAAGATGCTATAGTATGAATATAAATCAAACTTATTAAGCAGTTCATGAGAAATCTTGTACACCATGTAACCCCTGATGGGCGGATGCACACAGTGATACCAAGAGAATCCCCTCCTTTCTAGCCTTGATGTAAATAAGGGATTTAATGAGTTTGCTATAGGACATCATTTACGTCTCCAAAAACAAATTTAATCAAACAATATGTTGAAAAAACATCAGGAACAAAACATAACATCAAAATTGTCACCACTCTTATTCCAAAACTGAGACGAACAAGGCTTAATCATTAAATAATAGGTTTATCCTCTAGTACCTCTGATTTCACTCTGGTCCTCTTTACACACTTCTTCAAGATCATTAAGCTTACAATTACCGGCTGTAAAACATCACAGATGACAGCCTGCACAGTTACAGTATAGTTGTTTTATCTAAAGAGGATGATATTTCACAATTATCAGAATCTGACTGTGCTTGCTCACAGAGATTATACAAATAATATACATATAATATTACTTCATATGCGTCTACACCTTGGTGTTCATACATAACGGCACACAGACATATTATTCATATATATATTAATATACTGAAAAAATGTTATCTTAACAAGTGATGCATGTATGTTGAGGTGACTTTAAACAGAAATACCTGTCGCCGTGGTGAGTTACATATGTTACCATGGCACTAAATGTATCTGACATACAGAGCAATACTTGTTACCTTGGTAAGTAACATCTGTTACCATGGTACTAAATGTACCTGATATACAGAGCAATACTTGTTACCATGGTAAGTAACATCAGTTACCATGGTGCTAAATGTACTGGATATACAGAGCAAAGCCTGTTGCCATGGTGACATCCATTACCATGGTACTTCAGACTAAGTAATACCTGTTCCTGAGGTACTATTTAAGATTAAGGAAACCTGTCCTGTTTCTATGTACCTATTTATGTGGTACTATTTTCGACACAGAAATACTTGTTACCATGGTAAGTAACATCAGTTACCATGGTGCTAAATGTACTGGATATACAGAGCAATACTTGTTACCATGGTAAGTAACATCAGTTACCATGGTACTAAATGTACCTGACATACAGAGCAATACTTGTTACCATGGTAAGTAACATCTGTTACCATGGTACTAAATGTACCTGACATACAGAGCAATACTTGTTACTATGGTAAGTAACATCTGTTACCATGGTACTAAATGTACCTGACATACAGAGCAATACTTGTTACTATGGTAAGTAACATCTGTTACCATGGTACTAAATGTACCTGACATACAGAGCAATACTTGTTACTATGGTAAGTAACATCTGTTACCATGGTACTAAATGTACCTGACATACAGAGCAATACTTGTTACCATGGTAAGTAACATATGCTACCATGGTACTAAATGTACTGGATATACAGAGCAAAGCCTGTTGCCATGGTGACATCCATTACCAAATGTACCTGACATACAGAGCAATACTTGTTACTATGGTAAGTAACATCAGTTACCATGGTACTAAATGTACCTGGCATAAGATTAATGGAAACCTGTTACCTGTTAAATCTATGTACCTATGTTACCATGTGGTACATATTTTACTAAATGACTGGATATACAGAGCAAAGCCTGTTGCCATTATCCATTATGGTACTAAGTAATATTTTATAAGATTAAGGAAACCTGTCCTGTTTCTATGTACCTATTTATGTGGTACTATTTTTGACACAGAAATACTTGTTACTATGGTACTATTTTAGATAAGAAATATCTGTTTCTGTGGTAATACTTTAGATAAGAAATATCTGTTTCTGTGGTAGTATTTTAGATAAGAAATATCTGTTTCTGTGATAATATTTTAGATAAGAAATATCTATTTCTGTGGTAATCTTTCAGAGTGAGACATAATTACTCCTGTGGTACTAGGGAATACCAGTTCCACTGGTAATACTTTAGAAGAAAGAAACACCTGTTCCTGTGGTACTATTTCAGACTAAGAAATACCTTTTGCCATGGTAACTGGAGTCTGTGACCATGCTATTCCTGATGGATATGCTGCGGTTAAGGTCAACTTCTTCAGAAGTGTACAATCCTTCCTAATATTGTGAAGAAAATAGTTAGATAATACAATGAAATATGTTGATTACAGTCTCTTAATTCTGAGGCACTAAACCAAATATATTAATATAATAAATTACATAATCACTTAGCCAGCTGCACCACTGATAATTCCTTTACACAACAATTTCATGTATTTTTTAAAATCTAGGAATGTCAGCCACCATATGGTTGTTTTTTAAAGTACTTTACTTGTATTCTTCAGGATTTATATGAAAATTTTCAAAGCAATAACATTATTGGTAGTCTTCCCTCAATAACAGCCATGGCCTTGTGGTATTTAAGAAGATAGTACCAATGGTTAGTAGACAGCAGATGAGAAGCAAAGAAAGATTAAAATTTGTGGTTATATGTCAGTTGAGTGTATGAAACTAATAACCTGTTGGCATAAAATTGTTTTCAGTTTGGCATTCATAACTCAATAATGAAACTTGTTACCTGAACAAGAAGCACTTTGTACATTTTGTAGAGAGATTTATATAATAGGTTTTCTCTTTTTGTTATTCACGTGGATTTTTATTAAGCTAAATGAAATCAGCTGAATTCCCATACCTGTAGGTAATTTCAGGGAGATGTAAAATCTGTTAAGGACTTACTGAGATTGGCATGGAAACTTGATCGACCACAACAGAATATCACCATTTCTCATAGCAACAGACAAGATGGCTGCCTCTGTGGAGCAGATGGAGGTCCAATCTGTACATGTTGTGGTCCAAGCCATTTCTAGATTTAGTTAAAATAACACATTATATAAACTACTGGTAATTCAACAAGGTATTTTCTCAGAACATACGATTCACAAAGATCTTTAATCACAATTCCTCTCATTTCTACCCTATAATACTGGTCTGTCCAGGGCAATACATCCAGGTGCGCTGTTCTTGTATTGCACATTCAAATGTGAAGTGTCCCTTCCCAATTGATGTCTTTGCCTGCTACAACATATACACATTTGTGTACAAATAATTATTTACAGTGACTATTTATATTGTGTTCTAATTTTCCAGGCAATCTTGGTGTGCCAAATCTAGGTACAGAGAATTCATTTTCTGTGTTAATTTGCCAATTACTTGCATAATAATATGATATCTATATAATATATAGCATCCTTTGTAATTTATTGTTGAGGTCTTCGCTGTTTTTTCCAACATTTTAGAATGAGAAATGAGAGAAAAATATTTTTACATATGACGGTGTAATGGATGGGATATTTCACCCTCAAGGTCACAAAATGTGTTCTAACTCTTGGCAAAGCCTGAAGTTTTACAACATTTTGTGACCCCCTCTGGTAGAATATCCCTATCCTACACCCAAACATATGAAAGAGTCTTATAACAGATCATGTATACTATGCTGTGCTTTCACAGTTGAAAAGGACTCTAGTCATATTGACATACCTAAAGCTGACACACTGTTCATCTTTATTTTCAAGCCATCTATGTCAATCTGGTCACCAGTCTTCCACTCAGTACTCTCCAGGTATAAACTGGACAGGTCAGCTACCTGTGAAATCGTTCATAAAGCAAAGGATAAATCTGATTTGGTCTATAAAATTGAACACCGCAGTTCCTTTAGAAGAAAATATCGGTAGTGACAATAACAATTTTAAACAAGCCTATTTATAAAGTAGTGAAGACACTTTCAGCGTAAAATTGAAAATGAAAACATCTCTGATTTCAACATACTTGAATTATTTTCTAATTACTTTACTGATACTTTGTAACATGTTTAGGTGATTTTGTATGTGTACAATCCCTTTCTAATGTTTTGTGTTTATGTTCTAAGTCACTAATTCAACCAGTGCCATGTACCCTAGACACACCCAGAGTACTACTAATTCTTAAGCAGACTGTTAATGTTAAGCAGCTCTTATCAAAAATTTCATGTAGAATTTACATATTTTTAAAATATAGATTGAAATCAAGGATAAAATCCCTACCAATTCACAACTATAACAAAGCTAAACATGGTGACAACTTACCATATTCCAGGTTGACTGACTGTCCTTAGTGCTGTGTATTAGCAGTCTGTGATCATGTGAGAGGGTTGTCAGGATACACCTATAGCAATTTACCATACAGCTTAAGCATGAGAGTAAAACTTTGACATCAACTTTTGTGTCTAAAGATATAAAAGCTAACATATTTTAATTTTTCAGCTGGTGATTTACTCTGAATATATTACTTATGGTTTCATATTCTGTTTCAATGGAAACAAAAATGATGTATTATTCAAGGAAGACTTAAAAAAGGACTAAGACTTTCTCTAATCAGTGTGATATTTTTTGTGATATTCCTCCCACCAAATTAACAATATATATAGAATCCCTCAATATTAACGCCGTTGACAGTACATAGACAAGATAACATAGTAACGATTAACAATGAAATAGGTTCTAATTTAAAATTACCTATTGAGATGACACATTAAAACATTTTAGACTCCATACCTGCCAAGAGAGTCTCCACCCAGAGGTGACCAACACAATGACCGATAGCCAGTGTGGGGTGAGGCTGACTTCACAAGAGGACATAATGTATGATCAAGAGCCAGTTCCTGCTTTAAATCTACACAAAGACAAAACAGTTATCAGTACAACATAATTAACATATGACACCTTTTAACATCTGTTCCTGGAATTAAACCCTCGACAGCTAGGAAAAAGGTGTGTTAACACCATCCGACCACCCAATTCAGATTCAATTACGGAGACATTTAACTGTACCTCACAGGTTCCTGAAATCTCACACAATATATATGAACTCAATGATGAGTTGAGGATTGTTCAAGGCAATTTACTATGTAATGAACAGATTAAAGTTGAATTAGCTCTCAAGCTGTAGGTTAAATGACAAACTATGATAAACCTATGAATTTGAAATTTCTCAGTTGTATCATCACTAAATCTTATCGAGTCTTGACACAATAACTACTTCAGATGTAAAGAAATTTCTTTTCAAAAAGTATCTTAAAACAATGAAAAATTCATCTAGGTGCAATTTGAAACAATCAACAACCTTGGAAAAAATTTTTCAGTCATGTATTCAGTTGAACCGCATCAGCTCAAACTTGTATAACTTGAAGACCACATTTAATTCAAAGTCTTTTTGTCTGTTACAGACAAACTTTTTTCCAAATAACTCAATGAAGACTTCAAAATAACAAAGTTTGACTGTACTTCAGTGAGTAGTAAGTCTTTATTCAACATTAATTTTTCAGTTTTTTTCTCTATTGCCCATTACACCAAAATGAAAGAATGAAACACATTGAAAGAATAATTAGATTAATATTTCAAACCTGGAGATTTAGTTTTATCCTGAAGGTCTCTATATTCAATCTCATTCAAACCAGACATATTGTGCTGCTCCTTCCATGCTGGTATATACTTGATGTGACAACTTGACGATGACACCAACTGATGCGGGGAATATTCAAGTTCCTGTGAAAGTGAACATAATGTAACTGATACTAATAACAATTATTTAACCAGCATATTTCTTAGCAAACATATTTTTGTAACACAGACTATTTAAAGTAAATTCTTCATCAGCCAGTCTACAATTGAATTAATTAAAATCAGAAATGAGTTATCAAAAGTGACAATTTCAAAATCACCACTTTTTAAACGTAAGAATTGCATGCTTGAACTTTCGTAGCCAAAAATTTGCTAGAAGGTGTGGCTTATTATTCATGGTCGATTTTTATTCACTTGACAGACGACAACAAAACGCTGGCATCTGAGGATGGATTGATTGGTTATTTCATCATACCTGTGAATATGTTTGACATGTGAAAATGTGTATTAAGAAAAAATTAAAAAAAATTGCTAATGGAATATCAACACAGTGTATTTTATTATGAATCGTTTAAATCGCTATTGTTGATTCCTTTTGGAAGCGTGATATGTTGCAGCAACCAAATCTATCCTTGTGCGAGGTCACGCATGTCAATTGTGCATGTGATACGCCTCGACAAAATAGTCATTCTGAAATATATAACGGTTCGGAATCGATGTCAACCGATATCTTATCCTTTGTAGGGGACCCGTGCCAACGAGTGTGCGTTAAGTACGTAATCGTGAAATAGCATACGCATCCATCATCAGAGCTACAGCAAGACACGCCAAGTGTAAATTACCGTGATGAAGACACATTCGTTCGTTGCTGTAGCAATCCGACCATCACTAGACCACTTGATAGCATTGTTACAGCTCGGTGTCAAATTGAACGAGTACTTGCATCTTTCTGTTCCCTCTGCCGCCATTTTTTGGACCGCAGAAAATAAGTTTTCGGAATGTCTCTAGACTTTAGATGCAATTAATGAAACGTTTCCGATAGCCTTTATCAATTCGACTTTGATTGGTTCCCCTCATAACCACAGACCAATCAACGCGCCGGTCACATCTCCAATTTGACTTCACACATGTGCTTCTACTTTCATTTCGTCTCGAAAATAAGTGATGGCATTTCGGTTCAACTTTCCGAATCCAGATAGCTCTAACGACGACGACAACGAAGAAGATATTTCAGGTAAAGGTGGCTATCGATATGATATTGGTGATTGTAGTCAAAATGCGGAAAAAGGGTTTTACTGTGTAAAAATGAATGCATGTAATGTACAAATACATACAGCTACACATACAGCTGTAAGAGCTGTTGCTTATATATATAACCGATCTTATTGAATTGTTTAATTAGAATCAAAGCTAATGTTTTCTGTTTGGAAAAGATAATATAAAAGGAAATTCTGTTTAAATCTATCAATTGATACAAAAAAGGTACAAAGAGATTATGTACAGTAATTAACACTGTATATAGTACTGACAGTCGCCCCTTGACATGTATGTAATCCTTAGCCTACCGCTATACACACATAATAGCCATGCATGGACTCTACACATTCCCATCACTGACTAGCTGACAAATACCATGTGTACACATGATCGAGTCTGGTTATGTGCAGGTTTGAGAAATCTTGACAAAACATTTACAGTGGGTCATCATCACTCTTTAACATGCAACATCTGATTGGGACAAAGTAACATCTAGCATACCACAGGGTTCGGTGCTAGGACAGCTCTTCTTTGTTATATACATAAATGACTTGCCAGAATTTGTGGAATCAACAGTATACATATTTGCAGATGACACCAAAATGTTCCAAGTTATTAAGTCAGAAAAAAATGAGACATCTGTACAAGAAGACCTGCTCAGACTATCTCAGTGGAGCAAAACTTTGCTGCTTTCATTTAATAAGGACAAGTGTAAGTTCATGTATATTGGAAAGCACAAGAAAGGAAAGACTGCCTATGTAATAAATAACACAACCCTTGAAAAAAGTTGAAGAAAAGAAAGATCTTGGAGCCACTAACGTATCAGTGAAAAGGTACAAAAGACACCATCGATATTTGGCATGATAAGAAGAAAATTCAAGTGTATGGATTCTTAATTATTTATCCAGCTCCACAAATCACTAGTAAGAACCCACCTCAAATATGCCAGTGCTGTTTGGAAACCCTACAAAATGAAACATATTGAACAACTGGAAGGTGTACAAAGGAAGACAACAAAACAACTACCAGGAATGGAAAACCTGACATATCCAGAAAGACTGAAGATTTTGAAACTGCAGAATGTTACCTGCAAGCGTATACGAGGCGATATGATAGAGATGTACATGACAGTGAAAAGGAAATGCAATGAGGGGCAACACAGTTGATAAAGACGTGGTCTGATACCTCCGAAAAAATCAGCTCAAGGACAAACTCATTGAAAATATTCCTTAAACATGCAAGAACATCACTACAGAAAAATTCATTTTCTATAAGTTTGCCTGATCACATAGTAATCGCAAACACACTAAACAGCTTCTAAAACAGTTGTCCTAAAGGAACCTTTGCTAGAAAATATCAGTAAAATAAAAAATATTGAATTGTAATTACATTATCTGTCATATAACAAATTACAATATGCTTTGACCACACTTCTTGACTTGTGAATATGGACACCACACTGAATCATATCAGAAGCCACAAAAGCTAGTTATTGGGTCATACAGCTGAAATACCCTTATCCATGGGGGAGAGAAAGGATGAGGCATGGGTCATAGCTACAGAGAAAGGATGAGGCCATACCCTGTCAAATCCCTTGCTGTTAATTATGTGTGATTGTGTAAAAGTAATTATAGCATCTGTGTGGACACCACAATGCCTTGATAGATTACTTTAATTATTGAAATGAAAAATAAAACAAATAACATCATTTTTTTGTTGCAGTTGATGATACAAATCAGGAGCAAAAATTCTCCACCAAGGAAGATGGTAAAGAAATATTTTTAAAGGATCATGATGTAAGTTGGATGGTTGGTTAACGCTGTACGTCAGTCATCAAAATAATTGATGCAAATACATACAACTTATTTTCTAATGCAAATGCTTAAGTATTTATATGTAGAAGTTAAACACAGTATTTTGTATCCATAAAATGAAAACAAATGTCAAATTTGTAGAGAGAAAATCATTTAGAGTCCGTTATAATGAGCCGCTGGTTTCATGATTATTTTGTTCTTTCATCTTGTCTCATTTTTCCCCAAATTTATCCCATGATCATTGAGTACCACATCGCTACTTACGAGTTGATTTATTAATCACTAGCATATCTTCCCTCACAAGACAGATCTGTTAATCTGGAAAAACTTCTCTCACAGACAGATCTGTCAATCTGGAAAAACTTCTCTCACAGACAGATCTATCAATCTCCGGAATACCTATCCTCACGGACAGATCTTTCAATCTCTGGAATATCTTCTCTCACAGACAGATCTGTCAATCTCTGGAATATCTTCTCTCACAGACAGATCTGTCAATCTCTGGAATATCTTCTCTCACAGACAGATCTGTCAATCTCTGGAATATCTTCTCTCACAGACAGATCTGTCGATCTCTGGAATATCTTCTCTCATGGACAGATCTGTCAATCTCCGGAATACCTTCTCTCACAGACAGATCTGTCAATCTCTGGAATATCTTCTCTCATGGACAGATCTGTCAATCTCTGGAATATCTTCCTTCACCGGTTGACCTGTTAATCACCAGAACATCTTCCCTCAGAGATTGATGTGCTAATCACCAGAACATCTTCCCTCAGAGATTGATGTGCTAATCACCAGAACATCTTCCCTCAGAGATTGATGTGCTAATCACCAGAACACCTTCCACAGAGATTGATGTGCTAATCACCAGAACACCTTCCACAGAGATTGATGTGCTAATCACCAGAACATCTTCCATCAGAGATTGATGTGCTAATCACCAGAATATTTTTTTCTCACAGATTGATCTGCCAGAAGACGTGACAGCCACTATACACACCTTCAATGATGTTGAGGTTCATTGTTACAACAGTGAGTCTGTAGAGGAATACCTATGTAGGAACAGACCACAAACATCTAACTTTGTAACAGCAGTGTCTGCCCATTCGGATTTGGTCCCAGATAAATATGAAGGTTTGTGTCATGTTTTGAAAAAATATAATTTTGAAAGTGTCTGTGATATATTACAGCATCTGAAACAAAAAATCATTGTTTTGATAAATTATCATGGAAACATATTATTATATTGCTGTTTGTTGTGCAAGAGTTACTTCCCTTGATATAACTGTACCCCTGGTAGATACTAGCCACAATATACTGCTCAGCTGCAAAGAGCTTCTCTTTAGCTTAATTGTCAGGCTAGTAAGCCAGGGGTCCTGGGTTCAAATCCTAGCAGAGGCATTGAAATAGATAATGACCTCAGTTACATACATTGTAACTAATATTTATGTTAGTGAAGTTGATCCACATCCTTTTTTCTGTTATCAGACTTATATATATATATATATCTATCTATATCTATCTTATATATATATATATCTATCTTATATATATATATCTATATATCTATCTATATCTATCTATATACCAATAAACAATGATCAGCCAGTGACAGACGTTGTACTTTAACTGATATTTCACTTTTTCTGTTCAAACCAGGGGAAATGCTCGTACTTTGTTAGACCAGTCACTACGTGTGAAACACCTAATCAAACTTTCTCCTTATTTAATGGTGTTGCACTGTGCATGTATATGAGCTAGTTAATTGTAAAACCACACTTCTGATTTTGCTTCACAATCCTTTCATTATAATTAAGGCTAAATCTTGTAATTCTACATCAGTGCTTACATTTAATATATTTAAAAAAGGCAAAGTTGGTAGTGAAATATGTCTGTTTCAATGAGCCTGCTGATATAGTTGAAGGTAAAGGCTGTTTCACACTAAAATCTGCCAATTTTATGACTTAATTTTTTCCTGATCAATGAGTGTTGGTTTTTGTTGTGCTGAGATTTGTGTTTTTTGTTAATTGCCTAGGAGGCCTTACCGTGTGGGAATGCTCCCTGGACCTGGCTGAATACTTGTCCTATAATAAGTCACTGGTTCAGGATAAAACTGTGCTCGAGGTAGGCGTCATGTGATAAATGTGATACAAGATGTTCTCACTGTACTGACAATATTTACCAATGTTTTAATAGATAAAAAACTGAGACCTGTACAGGCCAGTAGAGTATTAATTACTTTGATTTTACTGTCTGGTATAATTTGACAAAATCCGACAGGAATGTTTCACAATTCCATACTACCTATTCATAAGGTCTTTTAATCTGTTTTACATATTTTCTATCATATACAGCTTGGCTGTGGAGCCGGTATTCCTGGTCTTTGTGCTATGCAGTGTGGTGCTTCAGAAGTTCATTTCCAAGATTATGTAAGATGTTTTGTTAAATTATTTTAACTTAAATGAAACTGTAAATGGGGGAATTTTTTGTATCAATACCTAAACAAATTTATCATGTACATTGTACACTGTATACATTGTATGTATACTTGCACACACATGAAAGGAAAAGAAATCAACTTTAGAGTATTCAAAGTATTTTTTCCATTAGGAACTCAAATTTACTTCTTCCTGAATTATTTAGCTTTTTAGGTCATCTGACCGAAGGGGTCTGATGACCTATTGCAATCGCCTTTTGTCCGGCGTCGTTCGTCGTAAACATTTTCAACTTCTCAAATACAACATGTCTCAATGAGTTGAAACTTACCTGAAATGATTGTGACATGATCCTGACCAAAGTTTGTTAATTTCGGGTTGGTCAGAAATCCAACATGGCCGCCATCTTGAAAACACATTTTCGACTTCTTCTCAAGTTCAAAATTTGAAATCTTATATTTTATGTCAGATGACTGTTAAGGCCCATGGGCCTCTTGTTTTCTACAAGATTTATCTATGTATGATATAAATGGTTCTAGCTACAAATATATAGTTGTCTTCTAGCAGCTTACTGTTGCTTTACATCCTATTATCAGATAGGGTTATTTAAGGACATATCAGGTTTGGGTTGAGGAGGAAACAAGAAGTTCCCAGAGTAGGTCAAGTTTCCTGTTGAGGTTTAATACTACATCTATGTATGAACAGTATATAAGAGAACAATAGCCTTGTATTGAACATTTTGTTTTGTTTTCAGGATTTTTTTTTTTTTAATCCCTGTTACGGGAAAATATAACGTTACTCACATCCATCTGTCTCCTCCCACTCTGAATCAGTTTTACACTTGAGAACCTCTCAACAAATTTTGTTCAAACAGTCTGTATATGCATTATCAAGTTCTACACCTAGTATATTCTGGTTTGTTTAGAAGTTATAGTTATAAATGTTTCTGTACATTTGTAATTTTCTAATGTAGGAATAAGTGAACTGCTAAGGTAAGACTTGAAATCTGAGTACGACTTAATGAAATGTTGTCTTTTTTTCAGAATTCTGAGGTTTTAGAATACTTTACAATCCAAAATGTCCACCTACACGAGTCCTGTTGTCAGTGTCGTTTCTTCTCTGGAGATTGGTCTTACTTTCAAGAAATTGCAAGACAGCAGAAGTAAAACTTCTTAGAACATAACTTTATATTACAACAATTTGTTTTTCCACTCCCCAATATGTTTATTTCTGTAGCATATGATTTTCATATTTCTGTACAAATCATTAATTTTTTTCAAAAAGACTTTGGTCAAAGCATATGAACAGGTGCTCTGTTGCTCAAAGTTTTGGTATCATTGTTGAGAAACTTCATATATATTTTGTGAATTGAAATGAATGAATTATGTATTTTATGATATTACAGATCTCAAATATTGAAGTTCCTTATCTGAAACTTCATCAGCTCAGAAAAAATTCCACCCTTTTTCTCATTTTTAACATCGCAATTATCTAGAGATAACATTAAAGATTAAGGAAAACCTTGTTTTGTTAAATCATTTCCATTTCAGGTATGATGTGATGTTGTCAGCAGAAACAATTTACAATCCTGATAACTACAGAAGTCTTCATGCTGTATTTAAACAATGTTTATCAAAAGATGGGGTGATGTATCCTTGAATAATGAAGTGTGTTGTTATTGATACACAGGTCATTTTCAGGGTATTGATGATATATTTGTATTGGTCAAAAAGGTCAATAATAAAGGTCGCAAAATTGACTTTAGTTAAAACACTGACAATGGCCATGATGACACTTGTTAACAATGTGACTAAAAGTGTTTAAAGGTAAATAATGTGACTACACATTGTAGGACATTAAGGTAGCTAACTAGGTGCATGGAACTTCAGGTTAAGTGATAAAGGTTAATCAGTTGACTTTAGGTCAATAATGTGACTTAAGGTGACTGTCACTATGTTGACAACATTTCAATTAACGTACTACAGGTCACTCTGGGGACTGTAGGCAACTATGGTGACAACAGGTCACTAAGGAGATTTTAGGTTACTCTGTACATGTCACCCACTATTGACATTGGTTACTATGATGGTAACTGTGGTGACAACAGGTTACTAAGGAGAGTTTAGGTTGCTAAGGTTACTCTGTACATGTCACCCACTGTTGACATTGGTTACTATGATGGTAACTATGGTGACAACAGATTACTAAGAGTGTAGGTTACCAAGGTTGCTATGTACATGTCTTCATCAGTTGATATTGGTTTCTGTGGTAACAACAAGTTAACAAAGAGAGTTTAGGTTACCAAGGTTAATGTGTAATGTCATCCTCAGTTGATATTGACTACTTTGGCGACAGCTTGTTACTTAGGAGAGATTAGGTCACCAATGTTACTATATTACTTCTCATGTTGATGTTGACTACTATGGTTACAAAGTAGAATTTCACCAACAGGTATGAATAACATATATAGGGCTGTTATATAACCATTATGTAAAGTTTACATTTGACGATATTTATTGAAACATTTCAACTGTTCCTCATTCCAAGTCAATCTGACAATTGACATTTTATTTATTAAGAATGAATGATAGGAAGATCTGACCTTTCCTGTCACAACAGACTTCATGCAGGTTTTGTATAGGGATATTCCTACAAGCCTAGACTAGGGAAGCGACTTGTACTGTCTGTTCCTTTACCTCTGAAAACAAGCCAGTGACCAGGTTCATTAGCCCTCAGACAGCAACTCATTCTCCTATGGTTTCTACTCCTGGAGGGGCAACTGCACAGTATGAAAAGGAAATAACCTGGAATGTCAAAGTATGTTTTTATCTTATATTGCTCCCACAACCTCTATTTTAATCATGACAGTGGAAGTTATGCCTTGACTTGAATCACCAGATATCTGGCAGCCAAATCACACTACTTTGGTGTTGGTGGAGGGGTGCATTTGTTTGAGGACTTTATCAGAAAAGAGGGAAGTTTTCATATAGAAATGTTGCAATCCACTAGTACAGGTGAATATATATCTAAAGTCCTTAATGTGCAGGTGAATATGGCATTGTAAATTGTTATACCTTGTAGATTCAGTTCCTATATATTTATATAGAGTAAGAAACGTCAAACGTTTAACTGTTTTGTTCACCGGTCCAAATGGACTGTTAAAATCGACTGTTGACCGCTTTACGCAAACATACAAGTACGACAGAGTGATAACGATGTTTTGTTTACATTGGAGTTATCTTCTCTTATCGTCTGCACAACAAAATGGCAACCAGTAGGCCTAGTGACGCAGACAGATTCAGTCTGGCATCGGAGGAGGAAATAAAGCGAATTTTACGTCATCTTTGTGAAGGATATAACAAAACAGTTATTGACTGGGGTTGAGGGCAACAGATGATCTGTTGGACCTGAAGGCAAAGTGTTGTCCAAGGCCGAGACACTGTCCATCATTTTTGTAGTCCAAACATAGGTTTCCATGAGTGATTTTGAGTTGTCTTCGGACCATGAAATTGAAATTGTTACATCCTTCTTTACAGTGGTTTTCATACTGCAAGTCAAAGGTCAAGGTCACTGATAATATGATTAAAAATTTGATTGCATATACAATAACTGGAGTTCCCTATTGGAAGCAAAGTTGATATAAAACTTCAAATCAGTTCCTTTAAGGAGATAGGATTGATGTTTAATTCTGAATATCTGAGTATCCTCGCAGTTGTACCTGGTATTTGTCCAAGTTTCTCTATATAATGCATTTTATTGTATTTGTTTTCAGAAGTTCCACGAGTAATATTAAGACTGACATGGAGACAGTGTGAAACATGAATCTATCCTGTTTTTGCCCTTGGTAAAATCTGTATTGAATGAATAAAAAGGAAAAAATTGTGATACTGTCCTTATTTTTCTTTATCGTGAAAAGCAGTAAGCTGATGATGTGCAGCAGCATTCATTCAAATTCTATCTAAAGATAAATTCCTGTGGGGAGCCAAGGTACCCTTATTGATCATCCTTTATATTTTTGCCAGGTAAGTTGCAGAAATAAAGGACTATCCAAGATGTGTGTTAATTTTTTACTTAGACCTTGAAATTAAAGTTACAAAAACAGTTGATCCTTGTAATATCAAACTCATTGGGACCATGGGAACACATCCAGAAAGCGGAATTTTTTTATCTAAGAGAATTCAAATGTTTTGTTTAATATTAGGCAGGAACCGACGAAAGGCTTAAAAGTAAACAACTAAACGTTAAAATCTTAACAATCTTGAAGATATTGTATTTTGTCCCTCGTTTCATGTTGTGAACAAAGATGTTTAGGGTAAGGACAATAGGACATGATATGTACAGGTATGTTGAAGTAAGCTGCTAGTCTATTGATTTGATTACCGACATCTTTTGGAACACAATGACCTATGAACAGTCATGGGGTTTGACCAATAATATGCTCTGTTTAAGGGTTGTAACATTGTCGATCAGTATGAAATATAAATATATATATATGACAAATATCCCAGATATGACGCAGAAATACTTGTAGAGTGAAGCAAAGAAACATCCTTATTCTATTTAATAGTGACCTCTGACTGATGTTACACTGTACAACTGAAGGAGATAACTTACAGTTAACTAGAATAGCAGGTTTATGGTTTTAGTCCACCAGCACCAGCTAGTTGACTGTTCAAATCAGCTTAACATGGTCTTCATAAAATTATTCTTGGTGTGGCTATTTCATTAATGGTACAGTGTACCTGATAAAACTTTCACAGAAATCATACAATAATCCCCTTGGTCTTTTTATTAGTTGTAAATTGTCCACTTTGAGATTGATTCGGAAAAACTAAAATGACAAACAGACAACCATCTTAGATTTTATAACACTGTTACAAATTTCACAGTTATAATTTGGGATTAATCTCAAGTTTTCTGCAATGTCCACTTTAGTGAGATCACAAAAACAAAATAACTGACTCTTTTAACAATTACATACTGGGTTTGTACATATAAATCTTGCGATACAATATCAAAATAAACACAAAGGATCTTTTGAAATCCCTTTTCAATCCTTTGTTTAATTGGAAGGAAGGACTGTGAAGACAAAATGCGCCACTCAGCGGTGAAAAGCACTAATCTCTCCAGTTAAGGAACCACTCTGACATAAAATAGGGTCAGGTATACAGCTTTAGCAATCAAAAAGAAATTTTCAGAAGTCAACCAAATATTACTAGCTCGAGTAAGTCGCAGTACTGTACATTGTGTGTGAATGGGAACATATGGATATTTTTCAAAATAAGATTATTTCATTTTGCGATATGATAAAAAACAAGTAGTTTTTTCATGTTCTGTACATTGTATAAATATCAATTATGAACTTGATGGCCCGGATGAAAGAGCGCACTGCCAACGGTGAAAGAAAACATATGTTTCAAGTCATATACCAAAATTCAGTTCAAGCTTGTGATAGGGCTGTCCACAAGTCAGCTATATAATTATATGATTCAGAATCTGTGTAATGAAAACCTGTAATTCCACCAGGATTCCTTTTGTATAGACAGGAACCCGGAACGGCAGCATCAGGCTGTTCTATGTGGTTTCATTATACTGATGGTAAACGATTTCTGTAAATGATGAAGAATCTAACTGTCCTGTATCCAGTCCTAAACAAATATGGTTTGCACTCTTTGATCCAATTTTAGTGACGTACACTTTTGTCTTTCCGCAAGAATTCATGACAATATCTTTTGCTGTGTGTATCTTCAATAACATTCCGCCCGTGACGTCATAAGGATTGCTTGACGTCGAAATGTCTGTCGATATTCTTCCGTTTTCATTACCACAGATCTTCGAAATGTGCACTGCGTCTGCAAAGTACACATATAATATCAACATGGTTAATGATTATATAAAGAGTTATACATTTCATAAGACTAAAATCGACAAGGACAAGTACAAACGTGTTTATATATAGCTGTTGCTGCCTGCTCCTCCACCCCTCTTTCAGGTATTTATATAAAATATTTCCATGTGTTAATAGTTTCACCTTAACTGGCATACAAACACGAAAATCATCGACTCCTGGTGTATTGAGGAAGTAAATTAATAATTGATCGGGTTTCCTGAACAGACGATTACTTCATCACACTTTCTCTTGCTCATGCTGGCTGCAAAATGGCTTTTGATATTTATTGTGAAATCACATGTACCTAACGAAAACAAGACTATTCGGCGACTCTCAGTCCCCCAACAACACACCCTGGTGAACCTATCCTGATCTCATTGAGTTACTTCCCTTCGTTTCACTCTGTCAGTACAGATGCTTAGTTTGACAGCCGATCGCGATGGTTGCCGAAAATGGGGTGAACCCATACCCCAAGTATGAAGATGCAGCGTTCCACTGCACGTGACCCCCTTGACACTAATTTTCAGAAAAAGGAATGTTTAACTTACCTGGTAGTGAAGGAGGTTTGTCGAACACTCCAGACACGTCTGATAAAAATACAACACGATTTACCTCTTGTTCTTTGCAGATGGTCTGAAAGACAAAATCAGTGAAATTATCTGTACTTATATTAATGAAAAAAAATAAAACTTAAAAGTTAAATGTTAAAATTAACAAAAGGCCCATGGGCCTCAGCGGTCATCTGACATAAAATACAAGATTTCAAATTCTGAACTTATTTCACCTGGATTTAAGAATCTAGGGTACTCAGCCACCACCTTAAAAGTGGGTTAAGGTTATTCATTTCAACAAACTTCGTAAACCTTCATCCCAGCATGCTACAGGCCAAATATCATCACCCTGGGTGTTCTGGTTATTCAGAGGATGTTTGAAGTAACAAACTTTGGTCAGTGCCATGTCATGATCATTTCATGCAAGTCGAAAGTCGAAAATGTGTTTTCAAGATAGCGACCATCTTGGATTTCGGACCAACCCGAAATTAATAAACTTTGGTCAGGGTTATGTCACGATCATTTCAGGTAAGTTTCAGCTCAATGAGACATGTAGAACTTGAGAAGAAGTTGAAAATGTTTAAGACGGACGATGCCGGACGCCGGACAAAAGGCGATTGCAATAGGTCATCAGACCCTTCGGGTCAGATGACCTCAAAACTTTCAAGCGATACATCATTGAAGCTCATCGCCCTATAATATTAACAAAAATGAAAGAAAATAATCTTGTTAAGACTTTAAATAGTATCTACAGTACACTCATTTTGGTTTCAAATCATTTTGCCAGGTCTACAGTTAACAATGAAACTTCGTTAAACGGAATGTAGAGTTAAAATTTCTGGTCCAAACCTTAAATGGGTAAATTTGCACAAAATAAAATGCTTTTCCCGAAGTTAGATGTCGGTCTTGACAGTAAAAATTACACTTGAAAATATTCTTTAGATCTGAAATGGTTTTTTCAAGACGGAAGACCTAGACGACCACGAAAGGTAGGTGTTCTCTCTTCTTGGTTGTCTAGGTCCGCCATCATAAAAAGACTACTCCTTAACACGACAGTGAATATGGCAAGACCATTTGGACTGCATATTGATATGATAATTGCTTTGTGGGGGCGTTTTCAGTAAAAACACGGCACATGACCGCCAACATACAGGACACTCGCGTGTGATGTCACATCGTCAAGATGCGGTAGGTTCCAGTTCTCTTCAGTGATCGCTCGTAGCATCCCAGGACTTAGACGGATCACTTCCAGATCCGCAGGAAACAAAAAGAGGCCAACATCGATGTCCCAGTATCCGCCAAGTGCTGCTTTAACGTCACAGATTTGCTGGCTTACCAAGGTGCAGGAGACACGCACGATTCACCAACAAGGACTAGTCGGAAATGCTATGCACACGAGTACTGACATCACCATCAAGGACTAGTCGGAAGTGCTATGCACACGAGTCCAGACATCACCAACAAGGACTAGCCGAAAGTGCTATGCACACGGGTCCAGACATCATCTTGATAGCAATGACGGTCGTGTTCGGTGCACCGTCTGCCGGGAGATCGTTACAGAGACGTAACCATTATTATTCATCAGGCCATTACGGCGGATGGTAATTTTTGTCTGAAGTGACATTGGATTTTCATCTCCGCCCACTCTTTTCCTTTCTGTGGCTATAAATTTTAATCCCGATTTATCGATTATCTTATTCATCGTGTCAATAGGACGACTATGCATTGTAAAGAAAGATTTATTACAAAATGTATTTTTTTATGAATTTACACGAACATGTATGAATTAAACAGAAGAAACACACAGTTTTGTTTCTCCATTAGTACTTATTTGAAGGATTTAATGGATTGGTCACAATATTTAATACCTTGCCACATAAAGAGGCCTACGTAGTGCTGGATCTTATTTCAGATATACATGTACATGGGCTAGAATGAGCCCAAATATGGACTGTTTTTCACACATTTCCAGTGTAGATTTACCCAATTCTAAGAGAATTGTGACAATGGTCATGGTTTTTATACGTTTGTGAATGTGTTATCTTTGATCATATCACGGAATCATGGCACTAGAGCGTTGACAAATATGGGCGTTGCTGATAAATGTACATGTAAAAATAAATGACGGTAATTTATTCACCATAGGGAGTCACATTAGTTCGTCGGTAGAGCGTTGGCCTACACTGACGTAACCCCAGGATAAGACCCAAGTTAGTGGTTCGACAGCAGTTTGTTTGGTTTTTTTTCATGAAACTGAGAGATGAATCGGTCTGTGTTGACATGGTTATTCATTGGTACGACACTTCAGCCTAATCGTCAATGATCATATGTGACGGGCCTCCCGCATGTTGTTCAGAGAGGTAATCACCAGCTATTTAAAGGAAATACCTCATCTTAAAATGACAGTGACTGTTCACGGAGCGACAAAGCTAGCAAACGTCAAGCATGTGTTGTAATTCTTTTACGCTTTTGAAATTAAGCATCCGGATGTTATAAAATGGTTTATTCACCATTAACATACCATATCTAATAAAGAAAATCACAATGTTATGAACCTGTTAAACAAGCACCACATGTACATCGAGCTGTCGCCCATCTAAAGGCTGACCACACTTGACTTTCGTTTCAATGACGTCACTTTGCAGCTCCATTTGCCTGTATGGCGTCATAAATCATTAATACTGACCCTCGTCGTGACCTTTCATTCTCTCACGTTATCAATTACCTTGATTATGACATCACCACTTAGGATGGCACATCCCTTACTCGAGTCAAGTATGCAGTCACCATGTAAGACTGGCACAAATCCACTGTTCAGTAGTTCTAGTATACCAGTCACTCCGTGGCGAGAAATTCGACCATTATCCGTCATCCAGGAACCAGCAGCCTGCGAACAGAAATGAATGATACTATCCGATGGCTTCCTGCCGATACAACTCAATAAAGATTACTTTCCGAACTTCATCGTTATATCACACTTGGTAGTTTAACAACATGCCATGCTCTTTGAGCTAAACTGTACAAAAAACAGAAAACAAAAACATAAAAAAGCAAAAACAAAAACACAGGAAACCATTAACATAAATATATCTTCAGCTTTTCTGTGTTTTAAGATAAAAATCTACTTACTGATACACCAATAGCATTAATATTCTTGTCCACAAGACTCCTTACTACCAAATGGTTTAACTGCAATAAGAGATGGAAATGTACAGAGGTTGTATTTCAATGGTTCCAATAGGTTTCCAGCCTTGGACCTCTCGCTCACTATCTTAACCCTCAACCGGTCGCTTCCAAGAGAAGCTGTCTTTCTAGCCGAATGGTATATTGCAGCTAGTATTCACCAAAGTAACAGATATCATTATCTATTTCGATGCCTCTGCTAGAATTCGAACCCGTGACTTCTGACTCACTACATCAGCAATAAGCTAGTGTATCCCAGGGTTACAAAAAGATAAACAAGATTTTAACAAAAGACACCAAAATAGATTAGCACTTGTCATTAGAGATCGGCATTTTCTCTATATATGATCGATTTGTTCTCGTTCCTCTTAACCACGTGACACTAACATGTACAGTTATAGGAATAATAAATCATGTGGCATTGGAATTACACGGTCACGTGATCAAAACACCTTATTGCGGGGTTGGAAATTATCCCTTTAAAGTGAAATATTTTCAAACCTCATGACTGGAATAGAGGTATAAAATATGGGTTAATGAACTTAGTAATGTTTTTTTTAAAAATCAAACTGGTCACAGGTGGTTATATCAAGCATATGATTTTTCACAAAATGGCTGCTGATGGCATGCACAAATAGAAACCGTGTTAAACATGTTCCCTAGGCTTCAAGATCCCTACAGTGCATCCCTTCATTACACCCCTAAAATACATCTCTACAATAGTTCTTTGCAAGCAGGGGAAACCAGATATTGTGGAAATAACTACTTAAACAGTCAGACCAAGGACGAATCGTGTAAAGAAAAAGCCAGCCCATAGACAGAAGCACTGCAGAAAAAATACATGCTTTCCGCATATATATATATATAACTAAGGTAATATGTCTCATTATTTCCATTTGGGATTTTCGTTTAGCAAGTGGTTGATACAAACATTAAATTTGTAATGAATTTATAAAGTCCGAGACATAATATAGCTTCGCATTTGACATGGGTGGGTGGGATGGGGTTACAAAAGATACAAAAGCAAATATACGATTGAGTTACATCACTTTGATAATAGATGATACAGTGGAGACACATTACCATGGTAACAGAATATAAGACATATACAATAATATGCCAGGATGAGACACATTACATTGGTAACATATGTAAATCTATCCGGAGTGTGTGTGTGGTATTAGATCTGTATTCGAGACTTCAAGACATTCACAATACATGTAAGGTAAGCCACATTTATCATAAATATATGGGTGAGGCACATTATGATGGGAACAGATATGCATATGAGACATACTGAATACATACATGTGGTGGAACCCCATCAATATATTGGGAGAGAAAATTACCTTGGTCGCAGAAAGACAAACTACCTTGATAACAAATAGTATACAAATGAGACACATTACCTTGGTGACAGATATACGAGTGAGACACACACCGTGTCGTCGTCTCTTCACCTCTTCTGATGTTCCAATCAAACCACTAGTAACTTGGTATTCTTTAGCATGGTGATGACCGAATGACCTACACTACAAAAATCATAATTCACAAATGGTGCTTCCGTCAAGGTAGCTTAGCTCATGATCGACTTTGTATACAGGGGACAAAGACATGTATTTATGTGTAATACAGAGTGAACAAAACTGAATTTACAAATGGTTAGGAAACTTAAAGAGTAAGTCGAAATGATTTCATGAACCAACCCTGCTCCGTGAACAACCACACATCGAAGTCCACGATGTACACATTGTGCGATGACGTCAGCTGCCGAAACCAATTCCTCCTGTTTCAGTGTCTCTAATCGACATTTATCTGTAATAGCGCTGCCACCTAATTTCACCACTAGATCCACAGTTTCCAGATCCATCATTGTTCTGAGTCTAACAAACAAGAAATTAAGATTTATTCTTTTGCATCATTTGTGGATTAAATGACAATAACATACCTAATACGTTTTAAACAACAAAATAAACATATATGTGTACTTATGCGATTATAGACGGGGTTGCCTGTCGTAGATTTTCCACTTCGAAAATAAAATATAAATACAGTCTAGCGGAGAAAAGTTGAACTAAACATTAATACTGGCACTATACGAAGAAATAATCTGTTTTGGTCAAGGGCGTATGATTAAGACACCTCCCAATTTGGTTTAAAACAAATAAAACGGCGAGAAGATCTAGAATTTGAAAATACATTTGAAAGAATAATTAATTATTACTGTAGCAATTACAATTTTGAAGATTAACAGCTGAAAACTCTTGATCAAGGATTCAGATATGACGGGATCAACACCATCTACCGTTAACTATATCTTAAAGTAACCCATTACACTATGAAAAGAAGGACAATGATTAGAAATTGCTTAACCGCAGTATTTTTTAATGTACTTTATTTTCTACTGTGGCAATGCTTCTTTCCAATATAAATACATTGAACTCGTACATTTTATTTCTCACTAAGATTTATGACTTACATTTATAAATAGCAGTCAAGGAGTCTATTTCTGTAATCCAATTGCCTGGTTGTTGCAACATCAATTTTCAAGCAACAAGTCCGTGATTTTTTTTTTTTTTTTTTTTTGCAACTCCAATGTAATGATATACAACGTACTACTGTGATACTAGCTCGCCAACATTATTAAATCTTCTTTTAACTAAGTCCTGAAAGTCAACTTTGTCAAATAAAATCAGAAACGTATTTCTACTTTTCCTAGTTGTTTCAAATGCTAGAAAATGCATGTTTGTATCTATTTTGATATCTGATTATTATGAGTGGTTAGAAATGTGCTAATTATAACGTATAAATAGATATTTTCTGTACGATGATTGTATTTTGGAATATTTTAAATTGAAATACTGTATCAATTATAGTTAATTATAATTATTATTATAATTTTAATAGAAATCTCAATTTTAAAATTGATCGCCCTAATTTTGTGACAAAAATATGTTTACTAAGATTCTTTTGAAAAAAAAACTCGAGCATGAGCTATTCACAACTGAAATATTATCCTATTTCGCAAAAAGCAATTTGTACATCTTTGGCACAAAAAATGTAATAAATTTTCCTTAGAATGAATATCAAGGTTTGTCAAAGTTATATCAATGTGTTGGAAAGTAATATACTTGATAGTCAAAGGCATACATTTGGAGACTTATAAATAGTATTGCTTTTATTTCACATCGAAGTTATCAAAATAATCGTTTTGTTAAAAAATTTGGTAAGACTGTGAAGGAGAGTCGTGTGTGAATTTCAACTAAAAAATGACACAACTAATTTTCATCCAAAAATTTAAGAAAAAATAATTATGTGTTTATAAAGAAATGTTAAATTTACTGATCAGAGACATACATTTTGGAATTTTTATCTACAAAACGACATATTTTTATTTTTATTTTAGTTTGAAATGCCGCTATATAATTTAAAGTTTAAAACCCCGAGCTAGAAATCTGGGAATGCGCGACGCGGTATATCCTCAAAAGCTGCATATGATAAATGTTTTCATTTTTTTAATAATTATTATTTTTGTAAAGACTTATTTTTTGGCAAAGACTTATGTGCTGTTGACATTGGAGCTAACAATGTACAGTTTAGTTGAACGATTTCTCATCGATTTGTTCGGATTCATAATGTGTTTTCTACCGTAACTATTTACTGAATTAATTTACACGATTCGTAACCGCTAGTTAGGTCTAAATAAATGGGTTTTTTCCTGACATAGATAACATTGAAATATCGATTTTAACCATATGTATGTGATATGTTGTGTTCTGCTTAATCTCTAGGTAAATAGTGTGTGGGTTTGAGACATTGGAAGTTAAATGGGGGTGGTTCAACTTACACGATGAGATCAGGAAAATACTTAGTAGAAAGAGTTCAACATAGGATAGCCAAGTGTTGTTTTGGAATACGGTGCAACATTGATTGACTTTAACCAATTTCTAACTGAAAAAACTACCACACATTTAAGCTGCTACAAAGTAAACATGATAAGAATAAACCACATTCAACAAGGTCGTACGGTGCAGACAACATAAGCATGAAACAATGTTTATTGGGGAGAGAGTTTGTTCAGCATCCTAGGATAAGTAAAGTACTTAATGTCAGTGCTAGAACTAGGTAAATGTGTCAGTACAGCTGTACCTGGTGATATAATCGAGAGTGCAAATATACACAAGTATGTATAGAGAGTATACATATTTCATTAGACATCCTGCATGCTGTTACATAATGCATTCGCACGGTCCCGGTAAGATATACCATATATATGGTATATATCACATATATACGTCTCTAGATATACTATTAAGCCGAACCACATTAATACTTCAACGGATTTGTTATGTACTTACTTATTTGTTATAAAAGTTGACCTGGTGTGGTTGGGTACCTTAATCGTAGGCCAAATAAAGTCCACGTGCACAATTTGAATTGTTTGTATACAAGTTTGACCTCAGTGTCGGAAATGAAAGAATGTGTCTAATTAACGGGGTAGAAAATGACAACATTTTTCCGGATGGTAGGGTTATTTCCCACCCGAGATCAAAATACAATCGTGTGAAATGAGGTTAATAAAAATACAAAAAGCTTACATATTCTTCGTGATTGTCCAATAAAAAGAAATAATTTGATGACATTAGGTATACATTATACAAACTATATGATTTTTCTTTAACTTTGGTTACAAAACAAATCGGTACTGAAGTAGATTGTATTTGTCTGCTGCCTTTCAGAGAAGAGAAATGAACTGAAGGACTTTATTATAAGATAGGTGTATTAATATTCCAAATGCAAATGTGAAACGACTGTGAGGAACAACGGTGAACAAAATGCGTAGAAAGGATAGCGATAGATACGGGATCACGGACTTAAAATATCTAGGTCCGTGATGTGCTGTAAAAAAAATGTGGCAGACACAGTAATTTCCTGTTACATGAAAATCCACCAAGATAATTTGCATAACGCCGTTATACATGGGGGTCACCTTTGTGGTTGAATGCAAATTAACTATGACCGCTCCCATAATAGGCTTGAAGGGCTTTCTCGGTCAGTTCTATAATTATACATGTATATGTAGTCAAACTATTATATCGTATCTATATTGTATATAATCAAAATACCGCACATATATTTACTTTCTTTTGTTTAGAATTCTTAATGTTTGCTCTGATCAGAGACGTATATAACACGTCTCTGCTCTGATGGAAAACATTTAAAATTTTATTATGATATTTTGAAAGTTCTAGAACTAATGAAAAATCACCCTGTTACAGTATATAATGAAAACAGAACGAGATTAATTTATAAAACTATGTACATTAAAAGTTGTACTTTGTTTGTCAGTAATACAATACTAACGTCAGCTACACAGTAAACAACATAATGAGTAGGTGACGTAAACCGCCGACCCAGACCGCTTTGTATTAGTCGTATATAGTCTTACGTACTGCGTCATTCGGTGCACCGTCGTGATGCTAACTTTCACATTGATAAAACAGAGGACATAACTCAATTTTATTTTTTCCATTTAAACACAATTTTGGTATCCTGCTAAAATATAAAAGAAGGCCGAAGCATTGCTTTTAAGATATGTAACGTGTTGATAAAAAGGCTTATCATTATCGTAAAATATTGCTGATAATAAATTATCTTCAAGTTAACAGAGCTTTGGAAGATGGGGATGCGAACACTTGACACATTTTTCAGTCAACAAGCAAGCCGAGTAATTCAATGTCTGGTTATTCCTGTATCTTGTTGACATAGAAATTTCGCTATCAAAATTCTTGGCATGTTGGTCTTAAACAAAACAAAAAAATAAATAAAACTCAGAAAAAACAGATGTCCCAAATAACCACGAAATATTATCGAAATATTAACAGATTATGTATAAACAGAACGACCATGTTTATTGACGGGAAAGCTAGTAAAACGACTGGATAGAGGCATCGTACACATGCCTTCGACAGTAACAAAGGTAATGTAGGGCATTGTAACTGAACCCGGTGTTATTTTCCTTTTTTATATCGTCCGATTCTAAAGCTGCCTACTTCGTAAGGTTGATATATATATATTTTTATATTTCAGCAAGTTCATTTCGTTTTTATAAAAATATATTGTTGTAATCATTTTCCATAGCTGTTGAATTTTTTTTTAAAGACTTGTTGATATTTACTACTCATAGATGCGGAATGTTATTTCGTCGCTGTCCCATTGTTTATGAAAATGTATTTTTCTAATTCTCATTTTTTTCAAATAAAACATAAATTATTTACAGAGAAAAAAAACCAATACTATGTTGTCAATCTGACTCACTGTTCACTTATTTACAAAGAAAGAAGTAGTTCTGTTGTCTATTAAATCTAACTAACCGTCCGTTTATTAGGTTACAATATTCTTATTTATCTATTTTTGTATTTGTGTTTGTCATAGACCAACCTACTGAATATTGGCTGTGTTTATTTGCTGTATACGCAAATATGGCTTGTTGGAAATGAACATTGGTGTAATCTTTTGATTCGAATTGTTTGTTGTCTTTAAATATAGGACATTTTTCATATTAGTAATGTTATTACATATACAAATATGACTCAGTTTTTAAAAGTATAATGATAGTATTTTGCTATTAATACGAATGTAACTTTTGTATGTAAACATAGTAAGTTATTAAGAAGTCGTCTATGAATTGTGACTGATTGTAAATATTCATAATTACGATAAGGTAATTTGCTATCTCATAATAAACTGATTTTATGTAAATAGCATAAATATCTTGTTAATTGACTTCTTTCGAATTTTTATTTTTGAACTTTAACAATTATTTCAACACATTATACGATCATTTTCTTGTACAGGAGTACAGAAAAGAGCTGTATGTGTAACATCCCGGCATATCAAACATCGCTGGAAAACTATGGCACTTAATGTTTCCATACATCATTAAATATAACTAGCTTCAGTCATACGTCGGACATCACAATTTAATTAGGAAGTTTCTGAATGAAAATCATTAATATTTTCGTTCTGTCATTCTGTCTGTCAGCTGAAGCACCAATAGAATACGCCTCTCTGGCTATAAAATAGTTGATTACGTGCATGCTACAACCAAACTGAAATAAAAAGACATTTCATTCTCGGAAACGTGGGAGGTTAACTTACTCGGATTAATGCGTCTATCGCCTGTGGGATATCGGTCACCTTTCCTTACAACTCAAAATTAAGGTGAGAAAATTACTGTGTATGAAAATCAGTATTTATTCATTAATTAACATAACTCTTTTCATTGTTGCTGGAGGTTTTATTTTCTTTCTTATATTTTTTACATATTTTTAAAGGTTTATGTGTGTTACAAGGATTAAATGACTTTTTTTTTCAATTTTGGAGCTCAGTTGATTCAGAGTTGTTCATATATATGTCTTAAAGACATAAATATTGTCGGTCAAAATAACTATATTTACTCATAAAACACCAGGAAAATCCCAACAAGTAAACAAATGTTTTATTTCAAAATCAAAATCGATGAAATGTGGGCAAAATAAAACACATTGGAAATATTACCGTAAACCATTAGGTACATGCAAGGAAAATAAGACCAGGTATTCCGAAAAGGTAAGCGTTTTCTGCTCCGAAATAAATCATAGTAAGTTAAGTTCAGCGTAAATGGTTCCTTTTGTTATACCTCTCAGTATTTTGATATCATGTCGATATCATTTTATTGTATGAATATGGTCATAAATACTCCCACTTAAATTCCGTACCGTTACCTTTACAGGTATATATTTTTGTACACATGCTGAGTCCTAAATAAAAACTTTGTATGCATATCAAGCCGTTTGATGACTTTTGATTTAAATTTGATTTTAATTGTTTCAATTTTAGGCGACGTTTTTAAGATTGAAAATGGTTCACAACCAGAAAATTTAACTTAATATGAAAAGGAAGATTATTTCAGAATTTAAAAGAGAAGGGACAGTATTAGACGTAAAGAGCATTATTAACAATGCATTATTTATATAATTAACTTCTGCTATTGCGCAGCGTCCGCTGTCTGTCCATTGTCCTATCGTCAAGTTTGAATGATACATGCAAGTTAAAGTTAATTTGATATAAATAAAACAGAAGACTTTGCCTTCCTTAAGGTAAAGGACTGAAATTACGGAAAATGCATTTAAGCGAGTTTTTTAAGCGACTTTGGAACGGTTGGTGTCTGCAGAGCCAATATGTGAAATTTTATGTAATATTGTCGTTAACAAATTGGTATTGCATGCTTTCTGAAATATTTGGGTTCTGTTTAGAAAAGGGTAATTGCAAAATGTATCCATTCTTCAAAACTCATAACTGTCTATCAAAATAGGATTTTTGGATGAGTTTGCCTGTGTCGGTATGTATATGTAGATTGTTATCTAGTGTAGGTTTGTTTTATAAATTTAATGACAATCTCAAAAGTGGAACATCCAAAACACGGGCAACTTTGAAGGTGTAATGTTACTTCATGCCTTAAAGTTATGACGATGGCTTCATGATTTAGGAAAAGAATCGGAGCAACTCCTGCGATTATATTTTACTACTTGATTGTGAACTGCTTACACCCATTCAGTAACAATTAGGCCTGTTAATATAACGACAATCGAGCCTTACTTCGGTGCATCCTTCCAATTCATCATTCTAACCCTAACGTACCCAAACGTTGTACTGTTGTTTATTAACTTGTAATTTTTCAGGAGTCCACGGGTAAAGATTTCTTTTTATTATTTTACTTGTTCGTGCAAGATATCATAAACTGACACAGGTATAACACAGGGTTTCAAGAGATGCATGTCGATGAAAATTGTGCGGAAGGTTTGCGATCATCAGATTGAACCCATTAAGAAATGTTCTATTTCCTTGTGCGATTTGAAGCTGACTGTGTTTGATGCTCGTTAGTTTGTCTGTTGGTTCATTTTTGTTCACCTTCTTCTCATTTGAACAGTACCTGGATTGACCAAGATTTAGTTCAGTTGAAATAATTTTTTTTTCATTCAATACTCAACACACACAACCTAACGTATTGGATGGGAAAACAAGTCCTGGGGTTATATTAAGTCCTTTCCAAAGAAAGTGTGCATTCGATGAAGCAGAAGACGCTTACTCTTACGGACATATAGTCTTATTCTCCTTGCACAATTTCAGGAGTCTACATGTATTTTTTTCTTTTGTTCATAATTGCCCTAATAATGTTTCACTTCACATGTTTTTTTGTACACTAGCACTGCTGTAGTCAACTCCATGTTTAATAGAAAAGACAAAATTTTGACGTGAACATGAAACATAACTCATTATTGTTTTTTCCCAAAACATTTCTTTACTTTCTTTTAAAATTTGATATGACATTGCACCGTTTTAAAAATTTAAAGAGAAAAATCACGTCAAAACAAAGCCCTCACTGT